CGAAGTAGGGCATATTGTAGACCCTCTTATGACACAGTGATAGTGTCCCTACCTCTGGACTGGGAGGCCTGGATTCAAGTCCCTCTTGCACCAGAGGTGAGTAATAACATACCTCAACAGGTTGATTCGAAAGATAGGTTAATTTTTTTTTAAAATGCACAAGAGAGGGCTCTTGTGGCACAGTGGTGGTGTCTCTATTCCGAACCAAGTGGCCTGGATTCATGTCCCACCTGCTCCAGAGGTGTGTAATAACATTTCTGAATGGGTTAGTTCAGAAAATAGAAACTCTGGAGATATTAGGCCAGGCTACAAACAGGAGTAACTAAAGGTTGGGATTAAAATATTAAAGGTTCTGAGAGAACTGAAGGAAGGTGAGACGGATGAAATGGGTTCTAAGGAACATAATTTCCGTAGTTGCTAGCTTTCTGTTGAGTATCAACGCTGTCAGATCAGTTATGAGGAACTGAATGGCCTCTTCCTAATGTGACTATTCAACTTTTGGCTGTACCATATGTATGATTGACTGAAGATTTTTGGTCATGCTCCAGTTGCTATTGTGTGTGGGATCCTCTCACGGCAGTTATGAGGTCTTGAAAATGTTGGAGAATTGTTTGCAAAATAACCTTTTGCTTATTGTGTCACTGCAGATGCTTCATAACATGAAAGGTCAATTTGCTGAACACCTGCTAGTGGCTGGCTTTGTCAGCAGCAAAAATCCCCGAGATCCCAAGGCAAACATAAATTCAGGTAACTGACAGAAGAAAAAGCTGTAATAAAATCTCAGTGAGAATGAAATTTTTTTTGTGTTCAGTCTTCTGAAATAGTATATATTCTGTTTCAACAGACAACGAGAAGCTAATTAAAGCTGTGGTTTGTGCGGGCTTGTATCCGAAAGTGGCAAAAATACGACCAAGTTTCAGCAAGAAGAGAAAAATGTGAGAAAATTAAGCTTTCATACGCAGTGCAACCTGAGTCAGAAAGAAAAAAGTTTCAACTGAATCCAGCAGGAAATTCAGCTGAATTTTTTTTTCTTCAGCGCGTGGTTAAAATGAGGAACTCGCAGTCATAGGGTATAGTTGATGTGAAAAGTTTTGAGTGCCTTTAGAGGAAAGGTAGTTACATACATGAGAGAGAATAGAAAATAATATGCTGATTGATTGGGAGGTGGTTTGTGTGGGTCACAAATATAAGCAGAGTACTTTTGGGCTGAATGCCTTATTTCTGTACTGCAAATTTTGTTAATATTAAGAGAATGGCACTGGGAAACCCTTTCTGAACCATAAACTGACATCTACGCCAATAAAGGACTTAGGATTTTGATGTAGGCCAGTTGATCCTTTGTTCTTCCAGACTTATGACCCCTTTTAGCCTTCCCATTGTAGTTTTACAATTATCCTGGAAAAATGGGTGGGGGAGTTTGGTTTAGCATCTGTTCTGCAGTATAGCATCCTCAACTATGTAACACTGCGCTTAGCCATGGGATGAATTATCAGTCTCAATTGTCTGTGGCTCTGACTGCCTGACCCAGATCTGACAGTGTGACTTGTTGAGCTAACAGTTTGCAGCCAGATGATGCTTACTGGATCTGATTTATTTATCCCAATCAAGTCATGTCTTCATTATTAAAACAAAATTTGGCACTCCTTGTACCCTCTACAAAGGAGGTAGGATTACTGCCGTGGAACTATTATGCCCAACTCAATATAGAGTGTGTTAGATTACTGCACAAATTCGTGCATTTAGGATGTTACATTGCCTCTGGCTGTGTAACAAATATTATACAATATTCAAGCTTTCTTTGTTTAAATTTCTAATTCCAAAATCATTCAACATGTTTTAATTTTCAGATATTTGTCAGTGTTTAGGTAATCTGCTTGTCATGTTTAGGTTCATTCCAAAGAAATACAGAAGTGCTATGAGTGCAGTAAATACAACTTGAGCTACTTTGTCTTTTGGTGTGTTAGTTTCCAGTGAGGCCTTCCCAGGTTGTTTGTTGGCCAGTTCTGCCTGTTGTTACATTTCCTTCAGTTCTCAGATGCTGCTCTAGGTAGAGTAGAGGTCAAAAAATATGTACTTGTCCCTCTCACTTTTCCTGTGAAATGATCGCTGAAGAAGATAGGTGAAGAAAGGTGCGATCCTCACAATCCTGTTTTCCTGTTGGAGAGACCTTCCCTGAATACCAGATTTCCTATCTCCTCATGAAGTCTGCTCTTGAGGCTCCTGCAGGGATTAGAGACACTGATAACCTTCAGGTAACTTGCACAAAGTGTCCAATTATAGAGAGATTATCAACATCCCGTTTGAGTATGATGAGAAAAGAGATGTAAAGATTCTGCCTCTACTTTTACTTTCATGAACTCTTAGCACTCAGACTCTGTTTTTCTCGCATTCAAGCATGTGAGTGCACATTCACATAGCCCCACATTCACATGCAGTCATATCCTGTCATTCCAGCTGTGGTCATTGAATAGCACTCAGGAACCCTGCCTATTTTTCCCTCTCTCCCTAGCCTAGGTCAGCTGTTAGAGACTAGCACTTGCTCTCAGATCAACACACTCAACAGAGATGGGGAACAGAACCCAAGGTCTCCTGGCCATAAAGACTTAGTGATAGCCTGCATAGTGTCTTTTCTCACATGATCAGACCACTTACTCTTTATTCATGTAACATTGGGATGTAAAGGCAGTAATCCATCTAATTCCTCTTCAGTATTTTGAGGATGATAACTGACAGGAAGTAAATACTTTTTTTTGGAATGCATAGAAGATGCTGACTAAATAGATAAAATGTTAAGGATTTAGTGATGGATTTCAATGATCATCTTGCTCTCCACTAAACTTACAGGTGAAGTGCTCACTTTCTTGTAGAACTGTAAGCTTTCTGTGTGTTGACAATTCTTCAGCAAGGCTTTGGCTGATAATCTGGTTGAGACACCTTCCCATCCCAGAGAAAATTCAGCCCCGTTGTCAGGAATTCATCTGCTATTGCTGCCATAAGAACGTTACCTAAACTCCCAGCATCTGGTGATGAATAGTCCTTTCTTTTGTGCTTTTAGGGCTAAGGTCTTTACCAAGTCAGATGGAAGAGTCAACATTCACCCAAAGTCTGTCAATGCTGAAGAAGGTGAATTTGAGCACAACTGGCTGATCTATCATTTGAAGATGCGGACAACCAGCGTGAGTGTTCCTATAAAAGACAGCTCCACTGTCTGGCCGTCCCCTTCTGCCTGTCCTGAGTCAGTCAGAATTGTTAGAATATAATTATTCAATGCGTATAAGGGGCAGTTCCACAGTCTGCTGCTCCTTTTAGGTGTGGCCCCTCTTGAAACCTGAGCTTGTGATATTGCCCTCTGCTTGTTTCAGTTGACCCATGAGGAACACTCCCCCTTGGTGCTGGATTGCGATATCACAGCGATGGGTTAAGGTTTTAGTGAAATACATCCAAATGTAGTTTTTGTATCATGACTGCAACAATTCTGATCCCTGCTTTCCTTTTGGGTAGTGTCATTTATGTTTTGCCATGTGTCTTATTTATCTCTCTCCCGTGGCCCTTGGCTGTTCTCAAAGGGGACACTAACATCAACTAAATGGTAAGAACTCTTTGGCCTTCTAATGTGCGATCTTGATGGTCCCGTGCTCGTCTCTAAGTCAGGAGGGTGTAAGTTCAATCTGAGTAGATGGATTTGAATACAAAATGTACTTGCATTCCCAGTGTGGGAGCAGTACCGGCACTGTTGGAGTTGAGCTATCTTTCGGTGCGATAGTAGACATGAGACCAGACTGGGCTTTCAGTTGCACTACTTCGAAGAAGGATAAGGGAGTCCTCCCCTGTTTCCAGGCCAATATTTATCTCTCAACAATCTCACTATAACAGATTATCTAGTCACTGTCAACATCCTGTTCAAGTATGATGAGAAAAAAGATATTAATATTCTGCCTCAGCTCCCTGACACTTACTTACATGAATTCCTTCCATTATGGGTGTTTACTGTGCACAGATCGAGTGCCCCCCCCCCGTTTCCTTTTATTACAGCAGTGAACTTCAAATGTACTACTTTGTCAGTAAATTGCTTTGGGACATCCTGAGGTTGTACATACATTTATAAATTATAATTATCATCACTTTTTAATCGCTTAATTAAAATATGTATAAATGGAAGTTGCTGTTTCTTGAGTTGGAGGGAAGGGTTCCAGGTCTTTGAAGGACAATTTGCATTGTTCTTGAAGCACGTCATGACTGATCAGGCCTAGCCAAGCTTACTCTACTAATGTTTTGAGAGAGCTTGAGTGTCTGACATCCATTTGCCTTCTAGGGGCATGTGTTGCACCCTCCATGTGCATTATGCATTTTTAAAAAAATGAGTGTATAAAATGTGAATAATCAAAGTGTTTATTGCTAACTTAGTTTTAACATGCATCTCATCATTAAGGTTTTCTGAACAAAGGGAAGATCACATTTGAAAGTTAAAATGTTCCTTTGTATTAAGTCAGTCTTGGGCTATAAAGGGAAACTGGTGATAGTGAATCAGCTGCTTGTTTCACACTCTGCCAAATTTTCTAAAACTTGATAGGTTTCACAGAGGGAAGTTGCGCATGTATTAGAATGGGCTGATTCACCAGCACCCACTTTCTGCTATCCTACCATCCCACACAAAGCTGATTTTTTTTTTTTTTCTTATCCTCGTTATTGGTGTTTAAAAGAAAACATTAAGAACATTCAACTTTGAAGTTCAAAATGGCAGTGCTGCCATGGTGGATTCTATCCAAGATGAGTTATGTCTTCTGTAGATTTTGCAAATTGTTTTTGAAACTCTTGGCTGCCTGGGGCACAGTGGGGTATACTGACACTAGATTTTGCTCCTATCATTACCCGCCCTCATTTGGAACTAGAATGTATTCTGATGTTTGGCTCTCAGTTACAGCGCCTCTGCAACATTTGAGTAGCTGCTGTGTGTTGCATGGGTCTGTTTATGTAATTGCTGGCTTATACTTAGGATGTTCCTTTTTTTGCAGATCTACCTGTATGATTGCACAGAGGTCTCACCATACTCCTTGCTGTTCTTTGGAGGAGACATCTCTATACAGAAGGAACAGAGCCAGGAGACCATCTCTGTGGATGAATGGATTGTGTTTCAGTCACCGTCCAGAATTGCTCATTTAGTAAAGGTAAAAAAAAAATGGAGAATTATATTGTGTCAGTAGATTGAAGTTCAAACTGATCTTTCTCTTTCAGCAATTGATGCTACCCTGCTGTGCATTTTCAGCTTGTGTATTTATTTGAAAATGTATTATTTTTATTCTTTGAACTGGATCAAGATAGTTATTCTGAACCTCGAGGAGAACTGCTTGTAAAATCTCTAATTGTTTATTTTTAAAAAGTTGTGAGGAAGTTTGACTGATTAACCGATGAGAACCTGCTTCCACTGGCAGGAGGGTCAGTGAGAAGAGGGCATTGATTCATAATAATTAGCAAAGCCCCACCAAGGAGATGCTGCCAATTTTATTTCAACATGGTGAGTTGCTCCAATCTGGAACATGTTGCCGGAAAGTATGGTGGAAATAAATTCAGTAGTAACCTCTGATAGGGAATTTGGTAAGTACTTGGGAAGGAAGCAAATGGTAATCCAGTGGTGAAAGAGTCCTGTCAAAGAGCTGGCGCAAGCACAATGCACTGAAGGGCCATTACCGTAAAACTCTAAAATTTATCAACAAATTTTTGAGATAGACAGGAAGTCTGTGATTGCTCAAGCCCTTAAGTTTGCAGACAACTGAGTAAATCAGGCTTTTGTTTTCCAAAATCAGTGTTGGAATGTAATTATTGTTGGCAGGACTGGCATTTATTGCCCTTGTCCAACATTGTTCATTATATCGCTTCAGAGCACCGTTAAGACTCAACTGTGTTGGCATGTGACTGGAGTCACCTGTAGGCCCAGACCAAGTAAAGACCGTAGATTACCTTCTATAAAGGCCATGAGCTGAGTTATTTAAGATGATCTGGCGTCATTTTTATGAATAACATTTTACTTCCAGATTGCTTTAAACAGAAGTCAGATTTTTAAATCACCATGGGTGTGATTTGATGCAGACCTCAGATTGAGCAGGCAGAAGCTGCTCTCTAGAGAAATGATCTGTTATTTGGCCACTGAAGATTATAGAAGTGATCCGATCAATGGATCTAAAGATGATTATATTTCCATTTGTGGATGAGGCCAGTTGTGGGTTTAAAAATGCAGGATAGTGATGGTGCCCAGATATTTTTCCCTTGTGTGACAGACAAAAGACAGGGACCCAACTCAGAATTTAATCAACAAACCCTTCTTTATTTGATCCTTTAAGTAACAGTACCTAATATAAAACATAGATGCTTTGCACCATTTACTTCTTATTTGATCTAACTTAACTTCAGCTTTAACTCACTTCATTTAACTTCACTTTACTTAATCCCCATTTAACCCTAACTCTAACTTTGACTCAAGAAGTCTCGCTTGAAACAAATACTACCCCGATTTTAGTGAAGTGGCCAACAGTGTTCTCCATGTAGATCTCGCTTCATGGATCCTTGATTTCTCTGAAGGCGACTTCAGGGCACGTGCTTCTCAAATGTCGTCTCGAAGGCTTGTCCTGAGAAAAAATCCTGTGTTCTGCAAACTTATCTGAAAATGTGCTCCATTTCCAAAAACTTCTCTAGCACTTGGCCAATGAATTGATCAAAACCTGATCACATTGTTTGATCTCAGCCAATGGAGTTTGCTGGTAAACAATTCCCAAATGTTTACACAAAGTAGTAAACAGCAACATTCCATGCTGCATATAAGGCAGTATGGTGCCAGTATGTTCAGGTACAACCATAAAACTTGCCTTATTTGGTCAACACAGGAAACTGCAGGTCTCAGCAGGTCCTGAATGCAATTTTAACTGTGGTTAGAGTTTAAACTAGCTTGACCAGAATTCCTAGCATCCTTGATTGCAGCTCATAACCAGTCTAGTAGCCAGTTCTGCTGATGGCCACCTGACTGCAGTGACTGATAAGACAATAGTAATTTCAGGAAAAGCATCTCTTCTCAGAAAGTGGTTAAAGGATTACAAGAATTAAGAATTTGTCATTTGTTGAGCCTGCACTGCTATTTAATAGGATCTTGATGGACCTAGTTGAGGTCTCTAATCCATCTTCCTGTCTGCATTCCATAGCCCTGGCTTCCTTGAAAATCAGAAATCTGTTGGATTAGAATCAATGACCATTATGCTTAGGGTGAGAGACATCCACAGACTAATGAACTTCTAAATAATTCTCCTCATTTCAGAAAACTGTTGAATTCTATACCATGTAGAGCGCTTGATGGGAATGTGGGAAAGGCAATGAGAGGGAGAAGGGAATAGATTGGCATATATATTAGTGATTGCAAATCCCTGAAGCCAAGCAATATCTTCCTCATTCATTGGATTCAAAGCATTAAGTCTTCCACTTAGTCGGTAGACAGGACGGTTCTCAGCAACGAGTAGCCTTGTTCATATCTCTTCATGTGTGTTAGAGGTTTGTACTGAGGTTCCAGCAGTGAAGGTTGACAATATAGGGGTCCTATCTTTTATTGAACCTGTTTAGCAAAGACCATTCTCATTGTGGTAGTTTAAAGCTTGCAATTCGAAGCCGGGGTTTGCTACGAGGAACTTGTTTGTGATTTCCTGTGTACCCGTTCCTTGATGCAGTGGATGTCTGCTGGTAGATCTTGTTCAGATGGTCGCTCCAAATGGCGGCACCAAGGTGAAGGTGGACAGTAGAACATGGCATCATGGAGTGACAGTGAGGGACAGAGCAGATGGTTTCAACCAGCTTGTGGGATTTCATTAGTTGAAGGGAGGTGTGTATGGGGAGTGATATTTGTGAGAGCAGGAAACCAGACGCATGGTGTTGACCAGAAGGTTCCAATTGTGATGCACATGATTACATTCATTTGAGTGTCAGCAGAATGTGTGTGTGATACACTATGCTGGACAGGTGCATAGTTGTCTGTTGCAAAGTGTGGTAGAACAAGTGCTGAAGGAGGAGTGTTGTGACAGTAATGTGCCAAGCTGACCCAGCAAGTTTGGCTGGTGGCTTGTTTCTGGTTTTGCCATTTGCTATTTTCTGCAGACATTCCTGGAAGGACAGAGTCCTATTTGGCATCACTCCCAGTCATGGTGGCCAAAATGGCTAGGGTTAGCTGAAGAGGAGATTTGAGGGAAAGTTTTTTTTCACTCAAAGGATGGTGGGAATGCTGTGCATGGGAGGGTATTTGAGGTGGAAAATTTCACAACATTTAAAAAGTGCATGGATGAGCACTTGAAGTGCCATAACATTCAAGGCTCTGGTTCTGGTGTGGGTAAGTGGGACTTGTGTTGGTAGTATATTTTTTCATGGTACAGGCTTGATGGACCAAAAGGCCTCTTCTGTACCATATGATTCTACGAATAGGAGAAACTTAAACACTACCATGGACCTAATAAAAACCAAAAGGACTGCGGATGCTGTAAATCAGGAACAAAAACAAAGTTACTGGAAAAGCTGAGCAGGTCTGGCAGCATCTGTGAAGGAGAAAACGGAGTTAACGTTTCGGGTCCGGTGACCCTTCCTGAGAATGGACCTGTTGAGTCAAATGACCATGCTAAAATATTTTGTAATGCTGTCTAAAAGGTGAAAATCCAGTAGCTTTCTGCTCCAGATCAAAAGCCAGTGAATCCCCTCGGTGTTTGAGTGTTAGACATTGTGAAAATAGATCAAGCTCAGTCCGTGATGCTCATTTTCCTCAGCTCAAGAGGAATGCTGTGGTATCTGACTGGACCTTGTAGAACCAAGAACAGGGAAGGATGTTTGGAGAAAGTCACTACTCCCCTCACCTGAAGTTCCCTGACTGGGCATCAGTCACTGTGAACAGGGTTTGTTTAGATGCACAATCTAAACATATGTCAGAAACTAAATGCGAATAACGATAACTGTAAACAATTATGCTTTAATAATAGAATCATTAGATTGTAGTACAGCAGCTTTCAATGGACTTGTCTTTTATTTGCGTTCAGTTTGGACATGGGAATAGAAGGAGGCCATTCAGCCACTTAAGCAGATGCTGTGTCTCCATGCATCTGATTTTGGTTCCCTTTAGTTTGTTTGCCTAACCAAAAACTCATCAATGCTAGTTTTGACATTTTCAGTTGACTCTCACCCTCAACAGCTTTCTGAAGAAGAATGTTTCAGATTTCCACTGCCTTCAGTGAGGAATTGTTTATTGACATCATTCCCAAATGGCTTCGGTCTAACTTTTAAGCTTTACTTCCTTTGTTCTGTGTTCCTTGCACTAGAGAATATAGCTTTCTAATGCTGGAAACACTTCAACTAAAACCTTTGCTGTACTATAATCTCATGTAAAAACAAATCTTGTCCATACTACGTGTCATTCTAAATTGGCGCTTTTAGCTAGTGAATCTGTTCTGTGCAATTTCTAAGGGCAGTATATCCTTCCTGAGGTGCAGTGTCTACAACTTGAATGTATTGATTGATTGATGTGACAGTCACAGAAAAAACACTTTTATTTCAATTAAATTTTACTTATCTCTTAAGTGTAAAACAATGAGAATTATGGTTGCATCGTACAGATGGGTAATCGTAGCCCTCATTAAGTTTTCAAAGTCCCATTTGAGTTGATTTGTTCTCATCAGCATAATTTTAGCTTTTGCAATCTGATCACTAATTGTGGACCATCAGTCTGATGTATGAATTCTCAAGCCAGATGCTAGTTTAGAGTTAACACTGTCTCAATTTGACTTTGCAGTTTATAGGTTCTCATTGGAGCTGTGTGTTATAGCCAGGGCCATGGTGACTACACTTGTCACATTCTGTCTTTATATGGCATACTGGGGGTTTCCTTGGGTTTTTTTTTAGGAACTCCATTACGACTCTTATTATGGAAAATCCTGCAGGATTCAAGAGAAGAACAGAATTCCAAATCACTGCTGTTGGCACTGAACAGATAATGTTCAGGAAACCCAACTGATCACAGCAATGATCCTATATTTATTCAAACTGTTTGCCTCCCCCTCCCCCCCACTTCAGCTCCTGAAACCAGGTATTCTTTGATATGCGGTTCTTCAAATGCTGTGTCTCACCCCAATTATTCATGCTTCACAACTTGGTGTCAGAGACCATGCAGGGTGCTATATCCAAATTCATTTCTGTCCTGTCATTAAATTCACATGCATGTGCTTGCCTGCATGGGTCACTGGGTAGCGATGAGGAGCTGAGTTCTCGGTGGGTACTTTTGTTTTCACACTATCCCTTGCCCTGGTGTCAGGATGACTGATTGCAGTATTCACAAAGCATTGCTTTGAGAACCTAATTTCACTACCCTCAGTCTGATCTGATTTGTTTGACTCAGAGCAGAGCAGAAGCTCACTTCAACACTGAAACACTGGGGAAACTTGGCATAATCTCAGTAAAAAGCATTTGGGCAGAATCACACGAGCTTTCCCAATACTCCATAACAACCGTTATTCAATGTTGCTCCTCGAGTTAGCAATTTTGATTTTTTTTATGGAAGAAAGGTAGGTCCAATGTGACTTCTTCTGGCCAAATGCATTTGTTTTAATTAGATTTTAAGGGAAAGCTGTACTGGTCATTGTTGGCTTGAGATGATTAATGCGCACTTGTATTGATGCTGAGGTCTTTCCCTCACCACAGGATCTAAAACGGGAGCTCGATGCTCTTCTGCAAGACAAGATTAAGAAGCCACAACCTGTGGATTGGAATAATCGATCGAAAGACTGTGCTGTCTTGTCAGCAATCATAGACTTGATAACCACACAAGACAACGCTAACGCAAAGAACTACACTCCCCGATTCCAGAGCTGCTGAAGCTGCAGTACCTGCAGTTGATTCTCCGGAGGGGTTCACACTGAGCCTAAAATGCTTTTATCGTAGCTCACCAGTACAAAGTTGTTTTGTGTCATTAATGTTTTTTGGCTAATGGAGCAGAGGTTTCGGAGGATATGCCCAAGAATCTCATTGGTCAAGCAGCATTGGCCTATGCACATTGAATAAAATGCCTGGTGTTTTAAAAAGTGTAACTACGTTCTGCTATCAAGTGTAAATCCTACTGAGAAGGGGGGTCAGTGACAGATTACTGACATGTCACACCTTGATGATCTGAAGCAACTCCACGAGATAGCTTCATTCTTCATTTGTCATTTTCCTAAGTTAATAAAATTTGTTTTCCAATTTTATCTTGGAATGGAGAGCACGCCCATCCCAGAACAAATCAGAGGATGAACTTTTGTGAATACTGAAATTAAGGATAAGTAAGTCAGAGTAAAAACAGAAAATATACAGCAAATTTAAGTGTTGAGGGTAATATTTGATATAGGCACTTAATCACAACCCTTACGTGAAATTAACCTTTCTTTTCTTACAGATTTTGCATGTGCTGTTTACATACAGCATGTGCATTCCTTTTCATATTCTGACATGATTACAATCTATCAGTTTTATAATTGGAGATATTTCCTCTAAAACTTTTTTTTAACATTATTCAAAAATAATAGAAGGGATGGCTTCATGCTACCTGTGCATTTAACACTGATCTGGGGTGAGATAGCATAGTTCTGCATTGTTTTATTTTTGTATTCAATTTAGCCATTATTGTAAAAACTAAATGACAGAAAGCACTGATGGTTTGGAAAAATGGATGAACAGATGTCGATTGCACCCAAAAATCCAAAAGACAAGTTAGATCATCTATTTGAAAGACTGTTGAGTTATCCTAAGCTACCTTCGTTAAATCACCCAGAGGCTCCTCTCTCTAGCATCTCCACTTTAAAGTTGCCATTAACAGAAACTGAGGTAATTTTAATGCTCTTGAATCACAAGGAATCCAGTGGAATGTCAGTCTTGTGCCCAGGCCCACCCTCCTGAATAAAGGGATCACCACTCCTAATGTTGCTGTTCTTTTGGTTCAGGTGGGTGTGAAACTGGGTACGCTGTGTAAAACCAGCCTGATGCTGTCAGCTCCACTGTGGCTGGTTTAGGTTTAACCAACCCCCACCATGGTCCAAATACTTGAGTTCAGTGAGATCTATTTTTGATTATGTGCCTAAAGATAGGAACAGGACTATTTAGGCCCTTGAGCCTGTTCTACCATTCTGCAAGATCATGGCTGATTTTGACACATGTCCATGTCCATTTTTGGATTCTGTAAAACAAAATCATTCTCATTTAAAATTGACAAATGATTTAACTTTTGACATCTGTAGAGTTGAAGTGTTTCCCAATTTTACTCCTGGTCCTAATCTTTAGACTGTTACCTTTTGCTGGATTCTCCAGTCAGTGAAAAACAGTTTCTCTCTGTCTCGATTTTATCAGTTTCCCTTAATTTCTTAGAACCTTTGAAATTTCCCCTGGACCATTGAAATTCCAAGGGATACAACCCTAATTTCTGCAATCTCTCCTCATAATTTTATCCTTTTCAAGTTTAAAGGATTAATTTTTTGTTTAGTTCCGGTTGGATTTAGCCGTTTTCAAAGTGCTAGGTTTTACCTTGGGGGTGACCTGTCTTGCCTGTAGATGGGTCGTAACTTGCCTTGGTTGAGGGTGTACTAAGTACTTGAGATCATTGTAACCTTAACAGCCCTCATTTCAGAGCTCTAGCATTGCCAGAGATCATCGCTGAAGCCACAGATCCAGTAGCCTCCATCGAGTGCCATAATGTGTGGGATTTGGCCCCACAATATAACAGTTTGATCATGGTTCCCTGCTGTTAGTGATGCTTTTTAACCACCAATGTATATCTTGGACTGTGAGTAAATGCTATGTGAGATTCTTCCTCAATAAATTCCCAAACTCCTGCACAAGACACCAGTGCACAATAAAGGCTGGCTGTGCAGTATTTTTGTGGGGGTGGATCATCATCAGAGATTAGGTGCTAATCTGCCTATGGTTTTAACAACATTAAAATACTGCAGATGCTGGAAATGTAAATCAAAAACAATGTACTGGAAAAAACCCAGCAGGATTGTCAGCATCTGTGGAGAGAGAAACATAGAGTTAATATTTGATATGACTTCTTCAGAATAGCTGCAGAGAAGAGTCATATCGGACTCAAGGCTAACTCTGTTTCTGTCTCCATGGATGCTGCCAGACCTGCTGAGTTTCTTCATTCTCTGGTTTCATTCCTATGGTTCAGGTGGATGTTTGAGATCCCACTATTCAAAAAATATTAGGGTTTCCCAGTATCCTGGTCAATATCTGCACCTGAACTAATGTTGCCAGAAGCAGATTTAACTGGTTGCTCAACTCATTGTCACTTATGTGATCTTGGTGTCCACAAAATAGCTGATGAGCATATGCTAAGTAAGTGATTTGCTCGCATAATGCATGTAGCAAAACAAGTCTCCAAATGCTTCTGAGAGAAATGGCATTACAGAAAAACAAGTCTTACATTTGGTTGACTTCTATGGATTTGTTATATCTTGATGCACTGAATGTGCTTGCCTGAATCTTGTGCAGAGATTTATATTGCCTTTACGTTTCAGCCAGTCAGGGCCTAACTGGGGATAGATCCCAACCACCAATGCTGTCATTTCTGATGCACTGATGACAGATCACTGCTTCAAGTCAGCTACCTGACAAGTAGTCTATACAGTGACATACAGTAAGGACTGTTGACTCACAGCTCTGATATCAGGCAACGGGCAGATCATTAATGGCTTTGGTCTCATTCCCCAATTTATCATGAAATGTTGGCCAATCATTGTTTTCCGAAAATACATGTGTAACTCCAAGTGGCTTTTGACCACATATTCCAAAAAAAGACACAACTTTGGGCTTCTCCCCTTCAGTCTTTTGGTAAACTTAATGGCCGAGTAGGAAGCTCACCTTTCAAAGAAGCAAGGTTTAGTTTGATCCTTGAGGTTTCCATGAGAATTCTGATTTCTGGATATTTAGTACACATCAGTAACTCTGCCCTTTGTACTGGTTCAGCTGGTGTATCAACACTTGTACTAGTAGATCAATAATGTACTGCCAACAAAATAATTGAATTTCCCAAGCCCCTCTCTTTTAAGGAAATGCCAGATATTAGGTCAAAAGACAAAAGAACAGCAAGTGCAATGTCGTCTTGTTTGTATATATTTAAGGCCCCCAAAAGAAATTAAGAGCAAAACTAATATTGAGGGTGATTATTAAGCAAAAAAAAGGGTCCTTACATTAAAGGCAAATCTACTCCTTTACCTGTGCTAATGAAATGTTAAGACCAATGAGGTTACAGTCTGCTACGCAGTGTTGTGTTTGGGTGCTGTCAGAATGCCCAGTGCCCTCTGTCATGTTGTAGTCATAATCATTCCTGGTAAGTGAATAAGATACAAAATGCTTTTTGTTTCAGATGCTGTTCTCTAGACTGTATTTATTTGTGACCGTTATTATGATGTAATGGCTGTTCTTTTTACATAGTCCAAGCATTTGTATTGTTTTCCCCATTAAAGTCCTTACCATATACCTAAACTCCCTTCTGTTCCTTGCCTACATTCACCACAAGCTGCCTGCCACATTTGAAATAATTTAAAGAAAGCGTTGATGGAACATCACCAATGTTTTGAGGTCAGTGGAGTGGAAGGTTTGAATTGGTTTCCTTGAGTCATTAAAATAAGAAACCCAATTTTTTTTTTTGTGAATTGCAAGGAGGAAATGCACTATAATGTTGGATGGTGAGAGTGAGACTGCATGATTTCAGGAGATAAAATAGTACAGATAGAAGAAATCTATGAAGACTATGATAAATTTGTTAACACCAAGTAGCAGGACAAGTGATGTGTTGCAGTATTCGGGAATTGATGGGCAGCTGTGTTATCCACAGCAACAATTGGGGATTGCAACTCGAGGATCTTTGGCTCAGGACTAATGAGCTAAATCAAAGAGCATGCTGGAGAAACTCAGCTGGTCTGGAAGCATCTGTGGAGAGAGAAGCAGATTTAAAGGTTCAAGTCCTATATGACTGCCTCAGAACAATGAGCTGGAGTTACAGTAAAAGATACATCAACTTATTATCAGTAAGCTACTTGGATGCTTCATTCCAGGACATGGTCTGCCCCTTAAACTGGGTCTTTTGAACAACGCAAGGCCTGCATAGTGTAGACTATACCCTCATGACTAGAATTCTCTCCTTTACACCTCTCCCACCTATTTCTCTTCCTTTAGGACTCCTTAAAATGCATCGCTTTGACAAGCTTTTGGTCACCTGACCTAATATCACCTGTGCCTTTTGTTTTTTTTCCTCATGCTTTTGTCATGTATCTTGGAGTCTCGAAGATAATATAAATGCTGTGAGTTATTATAGCTGCAATATTGCAACTTCCTTGTGAAGAGTTGGTAGAAATCGGAAAACCTCAAGTTCTGGAAGATTTCAAGACTGAGATACCCAAATTGTAATGAGTGAGGGTATTACCGGATGCAGCAGTAAGGAAAATATAAATCAAGTACAGACTGGTCAAGAATGGCCAGCAGGTTTGAGGGAACACAGACTGAGTAAATCATTTCAACCACTCTAACTTGTTCCATCATGCAACTAGATCACAAGTCAGTATTTTAAATTTATCTGCCTATCACAGGATTTTGGAATGATTCAACATAAAAAGGAACATTCCATCCATCTTGGCTTAACTCTGATGGTCTTTATACTCTTGCCTAACTGAAATCTATTGATATCTGTCTTGAAATTTTTCAATGACCCCAGTCTCAACAGCTTCTCGGGTGACCATTCCATATTTCAATTACCGTATGTTAGTAAATGCTTCCTGACATCACTTCTAAGCGACCTAACTCTAATTTTAAGGCTTTAAGTCTGCAGACTGAGGATGCTACGTTTTTCTCTGCAAACCTTTTAATCATCCAAGCAGTATTTTTTAATCTTCTATATTCAACGAGATGGAACCCTGGACCACTCATTTGGCTTTATAATTGAACCCTTTTAGCATCAGTATCATTCTTGTTGACCTGTGCTGATGTTTCTGAAAGGCTCATATGGCCTTTCTGCAGTGCAATGTGCAAACTACCTACAATGCAGAAAGAGGCCATTCAGCCCGTCAAGATTGCACTAACCCTGTGAAGAGCATCTCACCCATTCTCAGCCCCGCAACCCCCCCCCCCCCCCCCCCCCCCCTGTAGCCCTGCATTTCCCATGGCTAATCTACCTACCCTGCACATTTCTGCACACTAAGTGGCAATTTAACATGGCTAATCCACCTAACTTGCATGTCTTTGCAAGGCTGGAACTGAACCTGGATCCCTAGCAGGGTGAAGGCGACAGTGCTAACCACTGAACCCCTGTGCAGCCCAGTATGTATGACATCTAACTGCAACTCAGACACCTGCGATATAACTTTCAATTATCTTGAAATCCACCCCATTTATCAATGCTACATTAGACTTCTATTTGGAAAAGCACAGTTTGATTGGAAATAGTCAGCATAGCTTTGTGAGGAGCAGGTCGTGCTCACAAGCCTTAGTTAATTCTTTGAGAATGTGACAAAACACATCAATGAAGGTAGAGCAGTGGATGTGGTGTATATGGATTTTAACAAGGCTAAATTTGATAAGGTTCTACATGGTAGATTCATTCAGAAAGTAAGGAGGCATGAGATTCAGGGAAATTTGGCTGTCTGGATACAAAACTGGCTGTTCAATAGAAGACAGAGGGTGATAGTAGATGGAAAGTATTCAGCCTGGAGCTCGGTGACCAGTGGTGTGCCGCAGGGATCGGTTCCGGGATCTCTGCTCTTTGTGATCTTTATAAGTGACTTGGATGAGGAAGTGGTGGGGTGGGCTAGGAAGTCTGGCGATGACACGAAGGTTGGTGGAGTTGTGGACAGCGTGGAGGGCTGTTGTAGGTTGCAACGGGACATTGACAGGATGCAGAGCTGGGCAAAGAAGTGGCAGATGGAATTCAACCCAGAAAAGTGTGAAGTGATTTATTTTGGAAGGTCTTATTTGAATGCAGAATACAGGGTTAATGGCAGGATTCTCGGCAGTGTGGAGGAACAGAGGGATCTTGGGGTCCACATCCATAGATCCCTCAAAGTTGTGACCCAAGTTGATAGGGTTGTAAAAAAGGTATATGGTGTGTTGGCTTTCATTGGCAGGGGAATTGAGTTTGAGCTGTGAGGTTATGCTGCAGCTTTATAAAACTCTGGTTAGACCACACTTGGAATATTGTGTTCAGTTCTGGTTGCCTCATTACAGGAAAGTTGTGGAAGCTTTAGAGAGGGTGCAGAGGAGATTTACCAGGATGCTGCCTGGACTGGAGGACAGGTCTTATGAGGAAAGGTTGAGGGAGCTAGAGTTTTTCTCATTGGAGCGAAGAAGGATGAGAGGTGACTTGACAGAGGGGTACAAGATGATGAGAGGCAGAGATAGAGTGGATTGTCAGAGACTTTTTCCCAGGGCAGAAATGACTGTTACAAGGGGGCATAATTTTAAGGTGATTGGAGGACGGTATAGAGGAGATGTCAGAGGTAGGTTCTTCACACAGAGAGTAATGGCGTGTGGAATGCGCTGCTGGCAGTGGTAGCGGAGTCAGATACTTTAGAGACTTTTAAACGACTCTTTGATAGGCACATGGCGGATAGTAAAATGTAGGGTATGCAGGGTAAATTGACCTTAGTAGGATAATAGGTCGGCACAACATCATGGGCCGAAGGGCCTGTACTGTGCTGTACTGTTCTATGTTCTAAATTTTTCAGTATCTGATCAGGAGCTGATTGGCCTACCCTTGACCCATCATTTTCTGTTATATAATCCCTGTGCATTTTGAATAATGTATCCTGTCTATCTGGAGATGTAAAGGTGACAATAAAACAAGTTCTCTGTGGCATGTGTAGTAATGGATGTAGTAAATCATCCACATCCATTTACAGGTAAGGAATGCCAACGCTGCTTATATAAGCTGACTGAAATGGCAGTTCTCAAATTGATTAGAGAGTTACTCCTGGTATTGGTAGAATTGCAAGTGAACATGTTGAATGTTGCAATCTCTGCAATGCAATAAACTTTCAAGAGGCGTTACTTGGCGGACCTGATTCGAGGGTAAAAAAAAATTCAACTTTGTTTGGTGAGGATGCGAGTCAATGTGGTGACTCATTAGTATAATTGAAACTCGTCAGTGCTACATTGTGTTCTGTTTTCCCTAACACTGGTTAGATGTAAAGAGGTCTATTTTTTAAAAGAATGCCTTTATTAAAAGTAAATCGAGTTTGATCTTGGGTCTGGAGGAAACAAAAAGCATGAACCTATTTTGAGAAGCCCAATGGAGTTCTGGTGTTCTGGCCAACATTCATCCCACTGCCAATATAATGAAAGAAGATTATCTGGCCATTTATTTAAATCCTATCTATGGGGCCTGACTCAGCACAAGTTAGAAACATAGAAAATGGGAGGAGTAGGCCATTTGGCCCTTTAAGCCTGCTCTGCCATTTGGTGTGACCATGGCTGATCAACTCAGTACCCCATTCCCACTTTCTTCCCATACCCTTTGATTCCTTTAACTCTAAGAACTGTACCTAACTCCTCCTTGCAAATGTTCACTGTTTTGGCCTCAACTGCTTTCGGTGGGAGACATTGTCTTGTTTGTTGCATTATGTCAGTGACAATTTATTAATATTTTATTTTGTAAAGCATTTTAATACGTGCTGAGATTATGAACAGTGCTACATGAATGCAAATCTTTCTTTCATTACTATCGAGGCTGAAGTTCAAGTCAGCTTTTTCAAAATTAGTCTAACTTTTGTGGTTTAGGGAGTCGTGTATTTTCATTGCTAAAATTTATTTAATCTTTCCAATGTCTGCGTATGTGACCTCAACTTGCTGCACCTTCAAAAGCTGTCATCTGACTGAAATTTTAGCCACTGAAAGTTACTAACTTGCTACGGTTTGAATAGCTGTCCAAACGTATTTCACTTGCTATGAGGACACAAACTTTTAAACTAAATTAACAGTTTCTGCAATTTGCTTTGCTTGTAAGATTATAATCAAGTGTATCATTCTAATAGTTAACTACGTTTAGGCCCATAATCTTCTCTCCCCACACCTTCCAGACTTCACTTCACAGTTAGCAGAGCGCTTGGACAGTAGATTATCTCTGAATTTTTTTTTAAGTATTCTACTGTTTTTATAAAATGCTTTGGAAATCAATTAGAGTCGTTATGATACTTTCAGGTGACTGCAAAAGAGCTAAATGGGAAGGGAGATAACAAGGTGTAGAGCTGGATGAACACAGCAGGCCAAGCAGCATCAGAGGAGCAGGAAAGCTGACGTTTCGGGTCTAGGCTCTTCTTCA